TTAACTAGCGATAGGGCAACTAAAAGAAAATTATGTTAACTTTAAGCAACACAAGGCATGACCTATTCAAACACAAAGTTAAGAATGTGACAAACAAGCAAAAATTAATGAACTTCTAAACTAATGCTCACAAACTGCTTCTCCTTATTCACAACAAGTTTGTTGTCCATGCTTAAACTACGTATTGGCCTTCTTCTTACCTTTCCACTCGAAATCTTTACAATTTGAGCCACGTTAAAAACTGCTCTGTTGGAACTGCACCCTGCCATTCCTCAATTGTGAAAAACAGCACTTTTTATTCAACGGAACTCTCCAAGGACCAATGGCTGATCTGCAAAACACAGAAAAAGTAAAAAGTGCAGCAATACCTCCAATTGGCATGGTACGAGTACGAGTCAATTGTCCAAGGAGAAGTTTCCACGATACAACACCAAACCTCAGTTTTTGGGCTTGATAAATACTGAATATTCTCGAAAAGGGGACTTTTTTAACAGCCATAAAAGCCTTCAAGTCCGGTCACATTCTGCCAGTTCTGGTCTAGTCCTTCTCCGGTCCAGAATTATCATACAACGTTAGGTGTCTCGAGGCAACTATAATTTGAACTGCCTAAGTAGAGTCCTTGTCTTTTACTTTATACTGTCTTGTAGGAATTGAGTGGCTCTAAAGCGAAAACAGGAGTCATCACCAATTAGCAATATATTTCATCACTTTCTGTGTCCCACCATTTTCCTTGTTTTGGCGCGTGGTAAGTTGATTTCAACAGCAGAAGAGACCACCTAAAGCGAGCACATCACTACTTTTTCCATAATGATCTTAGAGCCAGAAAAAGGGGACAAGCAGAATAAATTTGGTAGAGAAAGACAAGTTAATTTTTGCAAAATAAAACGACAAGTTGTTTGTTGAAATTTTCAGCAGGGTAGCTTTTCTACAATAAACGATTAATAAACGTAAAAATAACAGAGTTTATAGGAAAATACCTGCAATGGGAGGGAAGGCAATTTTTCCTAGGCATAAGGCCTAAGGTAGTCCACAATCATCAGAGATGGTCATCATAATTCTTGGCACCACTCTCTTGGATCTGCTAGTATCCTCTCTTGATACAGCAAAGTTGCCAAAGCTAAGGATCTATATGACAGGAATGGTCTTGAAATTTAAAAAAATATAGTATTGTGCTCTATCATCACAAAAATCTAGACAAATTTTTCTGTATGTTATAGGTCAATTAGATAAATGTTATAGGTCTTATTAACAGTATGTCAAGGTCTGATACTATGTTTTTTTCATTATTCATGTCTCCTGTTTCATCAGGAATTTAGTAACTTATTCTTCCAAACCCACTCTTTTTATTACTTATTTTTAAGAAGCATCGCTGAATCTTGAATGTTTTGCAATTCCTGCCACCCCTAAAATACACTCAATCAGTTCATTATTGCTGCAATGGCTCAAAACTCATGTTTTAACCCTCTTACAAGATCTTGAACATCGAACTCAAAGAATCTCACAGGATAAACAAGCTATTTTTTATGTCTTGTAAAAGATTCAACACTCGAACCAACGATTCACTTACATACAAGAGGATTACTGTACGGATTGTAAAAATGTTTGCTGTGCAGAAATCACTGCCGATGTTAAAGGTGCTTAAGTGCTTTCTATTCATTCCCGTAAATGGCTTACGGGTTTTTCTTGTTGTCTAATAATCAAGATCCCTGTTATAATCACGCACCGTTCAAATGTTTCTAGGGTTTTGGGTTTTAAAAATTGATGCACTGTATTGTAAGCAAAATGTGATCTTGTTTATGAGAGCAGGGAAATGGCTGTTTGTTTTGCAGAAGTAAAGGCAGTATTGTGGTAAAAACAAGACAGAGACTTGGTTGAAACCTGTCCATAAGAAACTAACATGGATTACTGAACAAGAAGTCGCGATATCATGTTTAACAAAAGTCAAAGCCTTAATAGTGGAACCTAACAATTTGTAATGAAAGGAAAACATATTTTTTTGGAATAGGAGGGGGTTAGATTTTAGAACAGTTTCTGCAAAAAGAAAATTACTTGTGTTGTTGTTGTAGCTATAGGTATTATATAGAGCTACTTTTGCAAAAATTAAGAGATAAGTTGCTAAGATAGTCAAACAGTGGTCAGGACTGAACACGATTTTAGCTCTCTCAACCTTTTGAAAAGGACGTCCTTTCCAAATTTGAATGTGTACTATCAAATAGAAAGAAATAATTAATAAGTCTGCCCTTGTTTGCTGATCATGATATCGACCATGAAAGTTTCTTTTACCTATTTGCACCTTAGGCTCAAGAGCACCTGCTAACAAAATTTTTAAAGACGCGGCAAAGTTTCGTTCTATCGATTGGAACACAATCGTATATTGTAAATCCTTTACAGTTTCTTGCAATGCAAAAAAGTATACATGCAGCAACAGAGATGCTTGCAGCAACGGAGACACTACCTAGGCACTGGGCATCGATGTGAAACAACTTACTATCGCATTTATGGAAGAACTATTTTTCGTTAGGCTTTGCAAATAATTTGCTTATATTTTACGATTCCCACAAAAACAAAACGTCCCAAAGTACAGATAATTTTTGGATAAAATACAATTTCTTAAAGAATTGGATTTTCCTTTGCCATAAATGAGTTTGTGATTGAATCAAATTCTTGATTTTCGTGGTATGTAAAGGCTCTTAGTGGGCTGAATTATAGCCTTATCAAAACAAGCACGATGTGCAAATCTGTGCCTAGGACATGACACCAGCATAGAAAATAACTGAATCTTGAGAGGTCTGGAGATCCTAAATAGTCAGGTAACGTGGAGATCCTAAATTGTCTCTGAAGCCTGCCGTTCAGTCTATGTCCGGGCCCAGGCCACAAAGTTTAACGTAGGGGAGGGGGAGGCTAACAAACGTGGGGGGAGGGTCAAGGCTTCTTTCGTCTTTTATTACAGCCTGGTAATCAACTTCTTTCATCTTTTATTACAGCCTGGTAATCAATTGTTTCCGAAAAAAGTGGGGAGGCTATGGCCACCCTGCCCCTCTCTCGGTGGCGTGGGCCTGCTGTGTAAAGTATCTGCAGTGCATGTTCCCATTTTCTTAACCTTACTGGATTATTTTATGCTTGCTTGCTTCAATGCCTTTCGTATTTTGTACAGTACTTGCTAAAAACACCTGAAGCCTCCAATAATTGGAGCCATACAGCTTTCTTCCTTTTTTCCGGAAATAATGGTAACATTTCAGGCAAATATCATCATTGACTTTCTAATATACCACGCCATTTTGTAGTCAACTGACATTGCTTAATTAAATAGGGTGGCTGAATTCTTCTTTGAAAGCCAACTTTAGTCTACCCAGATTGCCTTGCGTTTACACAAGATCTATAATGCATAGATCTGCTGAGTGGATCCGTCTTGGTCCCATCCCAACGAGGTTTCGTGTTTATCCCCATTCAGTACATTGATCCGATTCTATTTGATCTTTGATCATGAAAACGGCTTCTAAGATACACGATAAAATGCTGTTATTCCCTATTAAATGACACAGTCTTGATAAAAAACAAAGATTTATTCCCACAAGAGTTTTAATTCTCAGATACACCATTACCTTTATTTACAATCTGTTAGATAACTAAATCGAAAAACATAATAAGTTGAATCACTAACTATCACTAGCTATTATATAAAACGTAATATACACTGTACATGATCGGTGCACGATCTACGTGCGTTATTCTCTTGACTGGTTATGATATGCAATCGACGATCAAGAAAAAATGTACTGGCGTGATTGATTTCAGCAATCGAGCAATGATTCGGTTGATTATAATGATTTGATTAACCGATGACTGATCGCAATTCGCAATTGCCAAAGACCAGAGATATCTAGTGCTTCGTAAGGAGGAAGTGACAGCTAACTTTACAAGTTGAGAGCCCGAAAAAACGGCTCACCACATCTGAATACAGAAAATTCTTAAAATGTATTTACTTTGCTTAAATGTTGCACTTTACTTATTAAGACATCGTCTTGAATAAACAGGTTTATGAAACATTCTTAGATGTATCTTCAAGTTAAAGAGGTTGGAATTGTTAGGAGGTATGCATGGACTCCTACGGCACAAAAAATTGAATGTATGCTTATGAGTTATTAATGTATCAGATGTTGCGGCCTGAATCAATCCGAGCGACTGGTTAGTGTTTATGCATATCAGCTCCGCTCTGAAGATAAGCACACGTGGAAAAGACTAATAGGTCCTTTAAAATGTACAGTTAGCATGTATCAGGGGCTTGGTCGCCCACCGGGATTCGGGAAATTTCCCAATAGGCCCCTTAAAAAATTTCATATGGGCCTCTTGGATTTGTCTTTTTTAAAGCTTTCATCATTTGTTACATCAGATTTGGGAAAAAGCAAGTGAAGTAAGGCCCCAAGCGGCCTCCGCGACATTCATTTCCAACATATTATAAATGATGACAATCGGCATTAAAATTGATGTGTCCCTAAAAATCTTGATTTTCCCGGTCAATGAAAATTCCCATCACCCTCTTTGGGTGTATCGCGTTAAAATGGCAACTGTGAAATGAATCCTCGTTACATGGAAAATTCCAGCAATGTAGAAAAGGTTTCCAGCAATATAGGACGAGGTAGGGCGAGGTTGGGCGAGGTTGGGCGCAGTTGTGCGAGGTTTGGCAAGGTTTGAAAAATTTGACGGAAGGTTTCCGAGATGTGCAGGCAATAAACCCACTGATCGTGATGGTTTTTATCTAATCATTAAAGATTTTAACTGTACATTACAACATGACAGAACATATTTAATAACCAAGTATGTTATTTGGTCAGAAAAGCAAATGATGTTCTAGTCAATTTTGGTTTGCTTACAATCCATTCAAGTTTTGTTTTTTCGTTCATGTTATCAGCATGTTCACTGAATCACCTGATGCAACCTCTCTTCAGATCGCAACGAATCATGGAAGATAGAACATTAGGATTCTCAATAACCGATTGATAGCTATTGAGCAAGATTTTCGAAAGCCACTGGGTCCTCACATTGTAGACACGACTAAATTTATGACCTTGATCAAGATAGAATATTTTGCCACGATCTATGCGGCATCAAAGCACAGTTGTCATGGTAGATTAAAATGCTGCAAGCTACAGCTAGGCCTAGCTAAAGGCAGCGCTAAAACCACAGACGAGCTTTAACCTGGAATTATCTTGCAGATCAGTCGATTATCTACAGTTTCATTAGTTTTTCAGTCAATACAGGCTACCTCCACTTAAAATGGAGGGATTTGCCTAGCCAAAAATTTCTTAATTAAAGCCAAGAACCTTCGTTCCTACCCTGAAAGCTAACCCCTTAAAGATTATTTTGATAATAAGGATGCGACTAGATTAGTTATAAGTCCATGAATGCTTCACTTTTGAATCCCTAAATTACTGTCTTAGGGAAAATGGCGCCAAACCTCTTACGTCAATTCTTGATTTTTTTAAAAATGTGAAAATCAAGTTAGTTTACATTTTATTTCCCAAATCTGCAGAAGATCGGGACTATTTAAGGGAATTTGTGCTCCTCCATATTTCTATTTCAAATGGAAATCTTAGCTTACAATAAACATATGGTGTTTATAAGTAACAACCTCTATCCAGATGAGAAATTCTCCTTAAACAAACAGCGTGCATAATGCCTTTCCATCTGAAAAACATTCCAGTCTTTGTTTGGGTTTATGCAAACATGATAGAGCGGCTTAAAGCAAATTTCCAGCTTTGTAAATGAGCCCAAACGCCAAACACTATTTCTCTTTTGGTCTTGGATTAGGATTAAGGAAATCTACGAGGTGTGTTCTATAATCACAATGACCATTTGTGCTTTGATGAAATCACAAGCTGTATAAACGTCAATGCATATGATGATTGATGGTCTGGACTTCACTGTTTGTTTCTCTTACTTAGCAATGCCGTTCTGACATTAGGCAACGTATAAATCGGCGTGTAGCTCACTATGTCTCGTTAGTCAACTATGTACACAAACAATAGCTTTTGTGCACATTTACTGTAGAGAATGGCTTTTAAATAAGCAAACATTTTACAACATCCTAAAAGCTTTTTTGCCAGACACACTGAATAAGGGTCTGAACGCACAAGATGAAAAATATAATGAATGTATACTTTCATAACTGGGTCCGAAAACACAGCTGGGTACATCTTTTGCATTTTGTACTTTCGGATACTTATTCTAACGGTTCATACTCCAAGGACTGCCAGAAGAAAAAGCTTAAAGTATATTGTAAAGTGTTTGATTTTTCAAAGCTATTTGCCAATTTTGTACCGCCAAAATTTCTAAAAGTTGAGAAACTTTGAAGAATAAGTGCCACGTTGCCGATTAGAACATAAACAATAGCCCGTTGATTAATGCAAGCAATGAGAATTCAAGTGACCACCGAAATTCAGCGAGAAAATGCATCACTGCATTCAACATACAACGCGACCTTAAATAGTAGAAGTAGCATAACTACATCAAGCCCGCTATGATTTTTTTAAACAGTCTGAAATGACTCATACTTCATCATTATGGTGCTTATATAGAAGACTCTTTATTCCCAAAACTTCGGCCTGTATGTTCTTAGTCTGCAGTTCTTGTTCTGCAGGTTTAACTAATTAACGTTGAGCCCAGCAATATTACAAGTAAATATTTTATATGTACAATCAACAGAATGTTTAACATTCAAATTACAACCATTTTTGTTGGCCTAGCATTAAAAATGAAATACTCAAACGTTGCTTGAAACAGCAAAAAATCCAGAGCCCGTTTAATACATTTTAAATACAAGACAAGTTTTTGTTATTAAGATAAGATTAATTACCCTAAAACTACCATAGATTATGAAACGCCGTGAAAGTAAATTTCGTATTTTACGATACAAAACCTAGCTAACTTGACGGAAAAATTGTCAATAAGATAAGTTAAATACAAATAGGAACAGATGTTGTGGCTGAACTAAGATTCCCACCATGATTTAGCAGTCGCGTTATTTTAATGTTTCTCTGTAATGGTGGCATAACTTTACTATGGAAATGGATGTCCGATTAGCCGGAGACATTTACTGAAGCAGTAATGTTCGCAATTAATTTAGGCAACAGAGAAACGGCTTATCTCACAACGCAGAGAAACAATTTATCTCCGAACGCAATGTCTTTCACAGTTCCTGTTTGATCAAATATTGAATGCATCTTCGAAGGACTGAAAATGATCATTCATAGTGATGTCATCGTTCCAACCGTATAGATCAATCAAACAATTCTTTATTGTTTGAACATTGATGTCAATAAGTTGATCAACAGTTGGCTCATCAAATCAATACCCAGCTGATCTTACAGAGTGAGCTTTGAATTTAAATTTCAAGTTATTATATTGTCATTTCTGAAAGTTTTGTCATAGGCCGTTGGACGAAATCAGCTCCGTTGCCCATAAAAGTGATGATTACCCAGTAACATCATCCTAATTGGTTAGTTTATTTTAGGCATTATCTTTTTATATTTTTTAGATTAAAACACGACATCGTAAATACAGTGAGTAATCCATAGGTTCAGCTAAATCATAGCCTTGTGGATTGGTGGACTGTTAGCCTATGGTTTCCATTAGTTGAAACGTGGTCTTTCTTAGCCAGAAATGGTTTAGTCTGTGGCGCCATATCAACTAGGCCAGTTTCGGAGCCAGCCTTCTTTAGCGTTGTCAGATGCGTTCCAAACGAGGCGAAGATCTCCTTGGTGCATGTTTCATTTCCTTCTCCATTTGGTACTTGAGCAGTGTCGTGGCAATGCTTGCAAAAGAACGTAAAGAGGAAAGAAGCTCTGACAGTACGCCTGAAGTCTTGCTTATACAGGGTGTAGATGAACGGGTTAACACCGGAAGCAAGATAACGTGCTAGGACAAACGTTTCGATTACTTGGTTGGGAACATCAAGCACCATTTTCAGTCCGATCATCATTTTCAGATCCAACGCGAGCCGTATACTGAAGAAAGGCACACATAACACGATGAATACGAGATACATCATGAAATACATGAAAAGGATCTTCAATTCTTTGTTGACTGTGTTTCTTCTTGCCAGCAGATTGTCAGGTGCTTCACGAATCAGTTTCTTGCACATTAGAAACATTCTGACGTAGGCAACTGCAAGTAGAATGAGGGGAGCGAAAGCAAAAGTTACTGTGATTATAACAGTGTAGTAAAACAGGATTTTGTGATTTTTGCTCCAAATCCAAATAAACTGAACGACGGCTATGATGCATGATATTGACCAAGCTGAGATTATGAAATAACGAACTCTACGTGTTGTAACCAAACCTTTAAATTGAAGAGCGTAGAATATCGAAAGATAGCGCTCTGCTGCCAGCAAACAAAGATGAATCACACTGTTAACTGACAGTATGGTAATGGATACGTCTAGGCCTATGTTGTACTGTCTCATGAGCCCTCCGTAGAGGAAAACCTGTTGTTTCAAGTAAGGTAGCACCTGAAGCAGACTAGCAATGCCTGTAAGGAAATCATTTACAGCCAGGCTTAACAGCAAATTGTTAGCCGGCGTCCTCTTCAGCAGTTTCTTGTCGGACTTAAAAACGAAGAAAACCAACGTATTTGCAAGTATTATCCCACAAGCAAAACACAGCCATGTTACGTGATATTCAGGGTCAAATGTCAAGCCCCTTCGCCTTGGAATCGTGTTGTTGGTCAATGACATTGTATTGTTGATAATGCCACTCGAAATCAATCCGATAAGATCTGAATTATTCCAGGCAGCAGTGGTATTGCTCCATTTATGTAATGTGCTATTCAGGTTCATCACCATGCTTGATAAATCAGCTTGTGAGATGCTATCCTGGAGGTCCGACGTCTCTGTTCCGGCCATTTTCCACAATAACAATAGTCACCACAGAAATGCCCGATGCCTACAAAAATCTCTTAGGCAGAAAACGTTGAGATCTCGATCGTTTCTTTAAATCTAGCAAACAGCATGTCAGTTTTGAAAAGAATAACATTGAAACAGCAAATAGCGACGTGTTTAATGCATATTATAAGTTTTATGCGCCGACAAAAGAATATTCTGCTAAAATATTAATGCGGGTCACAGTTTTGAAGAATCTGTTTCACAGTTTTTTCCACACATTTATCCTCATCGGTAACTGTTCTGATTCTCCACTTTGTCCTCCAGTTCGTAGGGAAATGCAAATTAATTTGATTTGCAGGCTAAGAACCGTGGCTTCACAAGGCAGATGTGTTATTATGATGTTTTTGATCCCACCTTCACTCGTACCTGTCTTCCTTACCGTCTCGCAAATAATGACGACATAGAAGAAGTCAACACTTTCATGATTTGCTGCTTTCCGATATTGACATTTCAGTTGTCTTAGCACAACATGAGCAGCTTTGCGAAAGTTATCATCTAAATAAGCAGTATTTCGTCCGCAATCTAGCTTGTTATAGCTGTCGAATCTTCTTGTTGCGCTAAATGGAATTGATAAATAACCGAGTAATACAAAAATCTAAAAGAAGATTTGTCACGATTGAAGACAATTTTGTCAACAACTTTGCAGTCAGATTCTAGGCGGTTTATATCATGACCAAACGGTCTTCAGTTCGCACTGCCTCCAGTTTCTTCGCGCAGGAGTTTGCCCAGTTGAGAGATAAATATTAGTTCAGAGCGACAAGAATGCTGCGCTCTCCTTCCGTGCAGGCTGTGAGAAGCAGTCAAGGAGAATTATCTTTGCCAATCTTTAAAATCTCTGCTTTTTAGCACAAGTTGGCTCTGTATTTGGACAAACGGCCTTCGTTGCGCAAATCACCTGTTTTCGCTATTTGCAGATACAACAAAGCAGTAAGATTACTAAAATTGTACTTACATCGTTTGTATTTGATTTATAACCGTACTCAACAGGTTTGAAAAAGTAATGCTCCCATTTTTGCAATCACATCGCATTGATCCGGTGTATGTATCTTGGCTACTCTGATATTTGTTTTGGACCTTCCAGCACCTCATCAAGTTCAAGGACTACTGCATTTCATCCACACCCCCTTTTATCGGCAGCTGCCTTGCATTAATCCTTGAAATTACTGTTGCTGAAGAACATTATTCAAACTACAGCTCTATTGAATAATCAAATTAAAGAGCAAGCATTTTGCATACAGACTACGCAAAAGTGATGAACAATGACGACAAAATTCTTCTTAATTACACAGGCGATTGCAATGCCGACAGTACCCTTAACATATCGCTTACAATATTTTGAGGCACTGTTAATCCCTTTCAGAAGAAAATGTGTAATGCGTGTAGGATGTTTGTTCCATTCGTGCAGTATCACTTATCTGATAAAACTCATGCCTCTCATTTTTTATGAAAAATTAATACCAGATAATTAATTCTGCCCAGAAGCTATTTTGAGTCAGCAATGTTCGTTGAGGGATTACTGAAACTGGACAGACCAGCGGCGTTCTTTCAGATACCGGCCAATGTGATCCGCAAGTCTACTCAGCCATCAATTTATTCTATTTGGCGTTGGAACTGGGTCCTACAAAAAAAATAAAGTTACTTTTAATCCCTTGATATTCCTTGCTAAAAAGCTTGAAGTATTTCAATAAATTCAACTTTCCTTTCGATTGTGAGCTATTTCCTCAGATCATAAATGCACACACATTCGAGCTATTTTCTAGAGGCCAACGCATTGACACTGTAAATGTCGGAAGCAGATACAATTTGGTTATTGCTGCAACTGAATTAAGAAATTGTCAATGTGAGACGCTTTTTAAATTGTTTCACCATGTTGGTCGGAATGTACCAAACGGAACTCAGGTGTAATAAACATCATTGTAAAAATTAAACGTAATTGCAACCTTTTACAAATGTGTAGCTGCTTGTGCTTGTTTTAAGAAGCGTCCCTACTTGATAAGTATTAGCTCAAAAACAGCCTGATCTGGCTGGGGTGCTTTGTTGGTCATTTGCAGACATGTGACTTTCTTAAGTTTTGTCAGCTGACAAAATCCCAATTAACAATTGGAAAAATTCAAGCACTCAATCACACTTTCTCGAGTATCAATTATTTAAGGGGATAACGAGAATAAGTATGCAGTTGAAAAAGTTTTGACAGATGGTTGTTTCTTGAAATGTTCAAAATGAAACTCTGCCTCAAATTTTAATGAATTTTGGACAACATGAGGACAGAATGGTGCTTCCAAGAGCAGTCGGTGTTTGACATTCAGTACAAAATTGACAGCTGCGTCAACCTTAAAACTTGCAGCTTATGCTTATAGCATGGTAAAAGCACGAACAGATAATTACGTCGCTGTGCCTCTGAAATACTAAGCTTTCCAAAAGCTGTGGCTCGGTCTCGCGCATTGCCTCAGTCCCGTGCATTGCCTCGGTCCCGCGCATTGCCTCGGTCTCGCGCTTTGCCTCGTCATCAATCGATCAGCGACGTTCACTTTGATATTATACACACAGGCACAATGCGAAATTGAAGAAGATGCACAAATCGTTAAACTAGTCATTGAATAAGCATACTTATTTTGTAATTTTGCTGTTATATAGGTTTAATCAAGAATTTCATAAAGTTGCATTGCGGATTAGAAAATGGCGTGTAACCTTCATCAATGGGTGGTGGCCTAAGATTCACTTTAAGAGCCAGGACGCATTGAAAGTTTCATGGTTCAGGTCCTAAAATTCCTCTAAAATAGTGCTTCTGTAAGCGCTGCTATGTTCTGCAATTATTTTGTGAATTACGTATTATAGAAATTTACAAGATTCACTTTTGAAATAAGCTGTAGTAAGGAGCACTTTGCTCTTCAGTTCATCGTTATAATATATTTTTCACAGGTCTGACTTCACTTTAAGGGCAAGGCACAGGTTTTATGGATATATACACTTTTAAAACTGGATGATAATTCGTGATAATGCAAGGGGGCCTACAAAGACAACCAAATTCATATGCAAGCAAACACGGATATGATAAAGCCTCCACTTGAAAACCAGGGTAATAATAAAATGTAGTAAATAAGGAACACCGCAATGCGCCGAGAATAAACAACATCAAACACACGTAAATCAGTTATGGCTAATGTTTCATCCCGGCATACGGAGCTTCATCACTTATGCTTTGCTCTAGTGTTTTAAGCAAGATGGTGTTTTTGAGCTTCTATCGAAAAGGTAATGCAAATGAGGAAAAAAGGGGGTGTGTTCAAACCCACGCACTAATTATCTTTCAACTGCGCTGGTTTAATGGAACAGAGCTTGTCAAAATAAACTTAGAAAAATAGGACGTTGGCAGAAAACTTTCTACAAACAGGAGGGTTTGAATGAATTTCAATTTGCTCAAAGAAGATTTCAAAAATTGCTTGAAGTCACCTTATAAATATATTATAACCAAATAAGCTTTTGGCATCGTAAAACATGAAATGCAGGCATCCTAACGCAGGAACAAAAATTTTTATATCTCCTTTCGATTTATTTCGATTTATTTCTCATGTAGTTTATTCAATCATAAAAATCGTTTGTTAATACTGTGATTTTTGTATTTGTCTAGTGCTAGGAGGTAGACATGATATATTGCTCCTCCTGGCCGTTCTTGTAATGTAGTATAGTAGTTTCCGTTCGGTATAGTTTTAGGTGATTTTGTTTGTAACTTTTTATATCGAATAAAAAAAATTGAAATGTTTCCAGTAAATTTGGAAAGAAAAATGTTTCCGTAGTAGGGTCACTATTATTGCTTCGATGTGATACGGGTATCTAAAAAGTCGGAAAGATGACTATTGAAGGCAGACAAATCAGATTGAATCTAGGTAAGTTTCAGGGCTCGGCTTCAGACGTTAAGGAATAGAACAATATGTAAGACTCGTGTTTTCAAATATCAGTATCTAACCAAGCAAGTGTCATGTTTATTGAGCGTCTGATTGCTCCATCATGGGCTCCGCCGCAGGTTAGAAAAGGGGGACCTAGGGAGATTTAAACAATCATAACAAAATATTTTTAAAAAAGCTCTATTGTTTTGCAAAAAAGTGGGGGGAGGGGGGGGGGGCATTGCCCCGGCCCTTCTTTGTCGGGAGGTCCTGTCCATTCATTCTGTCATTACATTTGAGATGATTTTGCGCCTTTAAAAATCGAAGTATTCTTTTTTAGTGGAGAGGGGAAACCAACAGCAATTTGCAAAACAAGAGCTAACAAAGCGAGGCTTTAACAGAAGGAAGCTTTAACAGGTGCTTTGCACGGTTACAGGAACAGCTTCAAAGTACCTTGAGTACAAAGCGCAAATCAGTTGGAGATGTATAGAGTCATTCAAGCCTCGTTAAGAGAAAAAACCTCCTTTCTGGCATAGCGGAACTCCAGTCAAGAAAAGCTATGAAGGATAACGATGGTTGTGGGATAGTTAGAAAAAACACTTCAATGTCAAATTTTAGGACATTTGTTGGGATGAAAGTTTATTATATATTATATCCTATTTATTATATTCATAAATAATAATATCAAAATAGAAAGTGAGCAAATAGGAACAAAAATTGAAGCAAGTTTAGAAAAATTATTAGCTTTTGATGTTCTTATTATCTTAGCAAGCAAAATTGGCGAAAAGTCTCCATATAGATTTCAACTTGAGAACGAACTTTACCCGCAAAAAGATCGTCCGCGGTCAGTCTGCATTGTGAAGTAGATAATACAAGAATCTGTTTGATCGGCAGAATTGATCTTTCTGTTATAAAGCGGCTTTTATCAATGACTTTAAAATAATTCGAATAAGCATTAATGAAACTGTACTTTAAAAATTTCCGACAGAAGGACGGCTTTCCTACGAGGGTGGCACCCCTTAGCACCGTTGTCGGCAAAACCTTGACTGGTCTATCTCCCCAATGATTTGAAATCCCTAAAGGACCAATGTGACGAGTATTCAAGCAGATTTTCTCCAGAATCTTTTAAAAAAACAATTAAAAACCGTCTCGTTTTTCCTCCATGATGGACAAAATTAAGAACCGGCCAAAATAGACTGCTATCACTCCAAACTACAATCTTTCAAATTTTAAAGAAAAAGCAGAAATCAACGATCTTGTTTCAAAATCTTTCAATCTTTCCAGGGTACAATAAAACGTAAGATAGGTGAACGGAAGGTTCATATCCAAGCGTAGATAAAAGAAGACGCAGGTGGAAGGAGGTGCGTTTGATTTGTGTCTTGTTCAGACTGACATGTTTGGTCTGTCCCTTTTTTGATTGACATGTTTGTATGGTTGCTTTTAACGATCATAAACAACTCAACCTCAACTAAGCTGAAGGCATAAACAATACGTATACGGATAACAAAGCTCTAAATGTGTAACGTCTATTGCTTGGAGGGTGACTTAAATATAATCAATAGAGAAAAGACAACACTTTTAGTTGTTTCAATTGACTATTGTCTAAAAAAGTTCCAAACGAAAAACGAAATATTCAGACCAGTTTAGTTGTTCATAGCTTGCAAGTGTCCAGCAAAGTAAAAAGCCTGCAAGCCAGGATTCAAGCAAGTTTCAAACAACCACACAGGTGAGCAAGTCACAAGATGTCAATACTGCAAAGAACCAGCAAACAGGCCAGTAAACAAAACGAACACAAGGAAACACACCTGAAAGAATGTAATAAAAGGAAACATATAGGTATGCAAACCTAAATGTTGAGAACTGCGCGGATATTTGCAAGAACTCGACTAAATAAATTGAAATACGAGGGAATAAATCTGCAACGACGAAGTTGAAAAAGGAAGGTAGCAAACAAACTAGAAAACTTACAACATACCAACAGACATGTTTGCAAACATGCGATAGAAACAAAAAACAAGCGATTCTGAAAGGTTTTCCTGGCCAGAACAGGTTTTCAAACAAGCGCACAAGCAAGCAGGTTGCAAGCTGACAAAAATGGGAAGAAACATGTCTGCAAAGACACAGCGAAACGAGCATGTGCAGTGGAATAAGCAAACAGGCAAGCAAACCAGGAGGTGGACACCGATGCAAAGAAATAGGTTTGCACAAATGTAAGTTAATAAACTGAAATGCAAAAAAATCTGCAAGGAATTAACTTGCAAAAGAGAGGGTCAAACAAACTGAGAAGCCTTCATCAATGCAAACAAACATGCTTTCAAATATGTAAGTAAATAGACACAAACACAAGCAAGCACATATACAAGAACGTAATTAGGAAAGGAAGAGGGCAAACAAATTGGGAAGCCTACAACAATGCAAACAAACATGCTTGCAAACACGCAAGCAAATAAACACAAACGCAAGGAAACACATCTACAAAGACGTCACTAGCAAAGGAAGAGGGATAATAAACTGAGAAGCCTGCAACAATGCAAACATTCATGTTTGCAAACACGCCAGTAAACAGACACAAACGCAAGGAAATACATCTGTAAGAATGTAATGGAAGAAGCACTTAGACAAGGAGACAAAGAGGCAAATAGCTACGGAGGTGAAATTGCTGCCAGACAAAGTAGAAATGCAAGAGAAGTTCAAAAGAAGCATAACTGGATAAAGCTATTCGAAGGTTGGAGCAGTAAGC